ATAAAAAATAAAAAAAATACCATGATGGTTCATCCGGACCTTCCTAGGTTAGGCATCGTCAACCATTATGACTGTGAGGAGAGATATGCCGATGAGTCTCCATTTCCATGGTTAGCAAGGTGGCAGAGGCGAGGCAGAGACGACGCAGAGGCATTCCCGTCCAGAGGGTGCGGGCGAGGTCGAGTGGTTGGTGGGCAGACGAGACGTCCAACTGAGACTGGCTCTTCTTGTAGGAGACTCGCTTGGCGGGGGCCTACAAGACCATTCTCGTGGCGAGTGTCGCGAGCATTGGCGTTGGCAGCAGCGCCTGACTGTCGCTTCGCGTTCGAAGCTCGAGGCATGCAGCGCGCTCTATCGCTGTCCGCCGACCCGGCAACCTGAGACAGGCCGGGGCCAGGGACGGCAGCAGCAGGACGGGCCTGGATGCCTTGTGGTGGGTGGTTCTGGGGGCGAGGAGGTCGGAAGAAGGAGGTTGACAACTGTCGTGATCGCGAAAAGTGCCAAGCAAGCCGAAGATGGAGATGCCCCGGTGGAGGCGGCGAGGCTGTTGGAATTAAATTCGTGGAAACCTGCAGAAGGGGAGCATCGAAGGCTCACGGGTGGCAGGATGGACGAAGGGTTTTTTTTTTACTTCGTTTGGGGGGTGCCGTGGGCGTGGCGTCGCCGAAGGTTTGAGGTCGAGATGGCGATGCCCTGGCAGGAGTTGTTTGGGGTTGAGTTATTGTTGGAACGGGAGTTTGCAGGAGAACGAGTTGGGTGCCTTTTTTCGGTCGGGAAGCGGACTTTGCCCTTGCGGCGGCTTTGGGGGCCACGGTAGGTAGTAGGTACTATTACCACATGAGGTAGGTAGGGGGGGCCTGGAGGGGGGGGGGGGGGCCTTGCTCGCTTTCTTTCCCTCAGTATCTGCAGGCGCATGCACATGTCCGCACTGTGAACCATGCGCTAAGGAGGCGCCCCGTGTCGCTGTTCAGTGGGGCTCTCCAGAGGCGCCCATCTGCTGCGTCGCCTCCCATCGCCTGCCACTGCCGCGACACACACAGTGATCGCGAACAGTGTGGGCTGACATCTGACAGACCCATACCCACACAGTTGCTGCCGCACTATGCATGCTCAGGTAGGTACCTACCTATGGTACATACCTACCAGGCATAGGTAGGTACCTACCAGGCATCGACTTGAGGTAGGTAGGTAGGTACCTGTCTTAGGTACCTGTAGGCTCGGGAGTTGCAGAGATCGTGCGATCCATATCCGCCGGCCGAAAATGTTCAGATCTAGTGCGAGACTTTGGGGTACCTTGGAGTCGGCCACTCTTCGGGGCCAATCTCGCCCATGGGCTTGTGCACTCAAGTCTCTTCTGTCCTCTGCCCTACGACGTCTATCGCTCGCCGCCCTGCTACATGTACTGCTGCTACCTGCCTGTGCATGTGCTCTTGCCTGCCTCACCCATGAGGCTACCTGCCTCCCTCACCCGTGATGCAGCGTAGTCCTTGCTGCCTGTCATGCGATGCATCGACCCAAGCCCCTCCCTCACCTTCTTCATGCCCGCGACCACATCGTATTCTCTCATTCTCGCATTCTCGCCTTCGATACCCACGATACCCACGATACCTACCCTGGCACCCAAACATGTATTTTTGCCGTCCCCCGAATTTGGGAGCGACATGGGAGCAGCCATTGTCTCACTGCCTCATTCCAGGTGAGCTCCATCGAGGCTGTCGAGGCTGTCTGCGCGACTAGGCAAAAAGCTACATGGCATGGCTTCCAGCGACACCGCAGCAAACCCCCAAACCATGGCACAAATCAACGCACACAGCACCTTATCTCTCGCTTGACGACAGGTTCCATGGGCGACATCCGGGGTGATGCGACAGATCACGATGCACCAGGTCCGAGTACGCCTCCATCCTCCCCCCCTCACACGTACCACTAGACGTGGTCTGTGTATCGGCTTTCGTCCCGCACTCAGCGCAATCTCCTTGCGTGCTTTGGTTCCTTGGTTCCTTGGTCCCTTGGTTCCTTGGTCCCTTGATCCATTGCTCCCTTGATCCCCGGATTCTTGATTCTTTTCCTTCACGTGCGACAACGGGTTCAGGGCACGTCCAGGTGCCATCCTCCACCCAGTCACGACTCCTCATGACGTTGATCGACAGAAACAAAGCAAACTTCCAAGACCTATTGGACGTCCTTGGACGCCTGCGACAATGCTGCCCCCTTACCTCGTCCTCGGCCCCTCCTCCGACTCCTCATCAGATCATGTCTTCGGATCCATCGTCAGGACCAGCAATGCACATGGTGGTGGCAAGCAAGCAGGAAGCAGCAGAAACGAACGAATCGCAGCCAGACACAACAACAGACAGCTTCCCGCACAGTGGCCGCCAGCAAAGCGCAAGCTCATGACGCGGGGGCGGCGCGCTGCCAGTCCATCGCAAGCGGAGTCGACCTCCAGCAGCCATTCAGTGTGACGAGAATTTTAATTTCCAACGTCGATCACTTGCTGCGGGCGAGCGGCGAGTGCCGCCAGCTGCTGGCTCGCCGGTCCATCGCGTGCCTTTTCCGGCCCTGGTCTCTCTCCTGGCCTCTCTCCTGCGCACGCCGCTGCGGAGGCTCCAACGTGAGATCTGCTGGCTGGGCACACTGTCTGCGACTGGATTCCTCGTTGGACGCTGATCTGCTCTCGTGCTGTCTTTGCTCGGCCTGGCTTCGTCTTCGTCGAGCCTAGCCCTCCACGCTCTCGTTCCGGCACACTCCAGTGTGCCAGGGGTCGCTTTCCCTGTCCTCCATACAGGATTGGATTTCCACCGTCTTGCGATCCGAACAAGCCCTGACCTCGGTACTCGACCTTAACCTTGAGCACAAGGCGGGGCCGATCCAGGTGGTTCGACTGATTCGAGCAAGCTGAAGGGAGAACAACAGACGGAAAGGGCCCAGTGGTGTCGCCGCAAGCAAAATGCTCACGATCGCTCGGGCAGTTCAACAACCACTTTTTTTTTTTCGTCATCAAATCATTTCGTCACACGAACATTCCAGCCCCGCGCCCAAAGAAAAGGGAAGAAAAGTTCTGCACAAGTTTGACTCGCTCTCTCCACTCTCCTCTTTTAGCGCTTCGATTACTCCGGTCTTAGCGCTACGACCCAGACCGGAGGGTTGCCAAATTCCAGTCGTAAAAGGCCTCCTCGCCAGCGTCGAACCAGAGGCCGGCACAGAGGAGGGGCACTGGGGCAAGCCGTGACAGGGCTGGTCGCGAGCCAAGCCAAGAGGACCAGGCATTGTACCTTTTTCTCTCCCTTTTTTCTGTCCTTTTTTCTGGGATATTGTTCACCAGGACCCAATATGCTGTGCACCCCCACCTCCCGCGAATCGTGCTAATCGTGAAGCGGAATAGCCAGGAGATCGCCCTGTCGGCATTTGTCCACACCGCCGCCGCTGAGATGGGGCCACGCCCGCGCCTTGCCATCCCCTCCCACCACCACCACCACCTCCAACCTCCCGTGCCTGCCACCCCTCCTCTGGATGACTGCCGGGCTGCCGCCGCAGGCTTGCATCACGAGAGTGAGCCAGGACGAGCTCGTAGGGCTTGGGTTGACCACCGAGGCTGCGCTTCGCCTGCTGACGGGATGAACGCCGCTGGAATACCACCACCCGGCTTGCTCGGGTCAGGACCATTGTCATCATCATCATCGGACGGGTTTTTCTTGGTGGGAGGCAGAGTGGGAGGACGCACGCACCCGCCGGCAGAGGGCGCGAAGCATCCAACGGGCTGATCTAGCAGCGTAGCGGCACGGCACCCATGACAAGCTTCACGGCGCTGCTGCAGCGCACACGGCAACGCACGCATGCACGTCTCGTTCGCCCGTCACCCCGCGCGCC